ACTGCTGCCTTTCTTTGAAGAAGATGTTTGCCATACATAATGATCACATTCATCATAGGAAATTCATACCTGTACATAATATTTCTTAATTCTTTTTTTCCTATTCCCTCTCTTCAACCCTTCTTTCCCTCCCCATTTAGAAAAGTTTCTTTTTTTCTTTCTATTCTTTTTTAAATCCTTTTTCCCATTCTTCCCTTCCCTTTCCCCCTTTCACATTCCCCTTCCCATTTGAATAAGTTCTACCTACTTCCCAAAATCTATCCTTCATTCTGCTCCTTATTTACCCTTTAAGTTTCTCACACATGAGAAATAATGTGATATTTAAACTTGTGTGTCTGATTTATATCGCTTATAATTATGGTCTAAGTGCATCTGTTTACCTAAAAATGTCTCAAGTTTATCTTTATGGCAGAGTAGTACTCCACTGCATATAAATACCACATTTTCTTTATCCATCTGTTGATGAGCATATGGGCTGTTTCCAAGATTTAGCTGTTATAAATTGTGCTTCTCTAAACATGGGTATGTATATATCACTGTGCAATGATGCTTTTAATTCTTTTGGGAAGATGTCTAGAAGAGGAATAGCTAGGTCAAATGGTACCTTTAGTTTTAGTTTTTTGAGTAGTCACCATACTGATTTCTGTAGTGGCTGTACCAATTCACACTGCTACCAACAATAGAGAAAGTTTCCTTTTTTCCCTACAGCCTCGCCAGCTTTTGTTATTGGTTGATTTCTTGGTGATAGCCATTCTTTCTGGAGTGTCATGAAATCTCAGTGTTGTTTCAATTTGCATTTCTCAAATGACCAATGAATTGAATATTTTAAAAATATTTACTTGGTCTTTGTACTTGTTCATCTGGGAAGTGTCTACTCATTTCAGATGCTCATTTTTGGATAGGGTCTTTCATTTGGGGGGACCTGATATATTTGAGTGCTCTATATACCCTAGATATTAGTCCTTTGTCTAAGGAGTAGCTGGTTAAAAGTTTTTTCCACTCTGTGTGTTGTTTCTTCACTCTGTTGGTGGTTTATTTTGCTGTATAAAAGCTTTTTAATTTTATGTGATCCCAGTTCTTGATTCTTTGTGATATTTCTTGTGTGATTGGGTTTTGCTTATAAAGTCTTTGTTTACACCTATGTCTTCAAGACTTTTACCTATTCTATCTTTCAGAAGATTAAAGATCTAAATATAAAAACAGAAATAGTTAATCTATTTTTATGGTAATTTAGTGCATGGTGAGAAATATGGGTCTAGGTTTAATCTTTGGAAAGTGGAAAGCCAGTTTTCCCAGCACCGTTTATTAAAGAGGCTATCTTTCTTCTAGTGAAGGTGCTTGGCTACTTTGTCAAATATGAGGTTCCTGAGTGTATTTAGAATTGTTTCTGCATCATCTTTTCTGTTTTATTGATCCTTGAGTCTATTCTTATGCTTGTACCTTGCTGTTTTTATTATAGTAGCTTTGTAGTATAATTTCAAGTCAGAGATTGTAATGTCCCTGCCTTGTCCTTATTGCCCAGAATTGCTTTTACTATTTTAGGTCTCTTCTGGTTCCATATGAATTTTAGGATATTTTTCTCAAGTTCTGTGAGGTATGTGATTGGGATTGCATTAAATCTCTATAATAGTTTAGGAAGTATGGCCATTTTCACTATATTGATTCTGCCTATCCAAGAACAGGGGACATTTTTCCATTTTCTAATATCATCTTCAATCTCCTTTTTCAGAGTACTGTAGTTTTCCATGCATAGGTCTTTCACTTTCTTTGTTAGATTGATTCCTATGTATTTCATTTTTCTTGATGCTATTGTGAAAGGTGTTGTTTCCCTAATTTCTCTCTCAGTGAATTTGTTATTTATGTACAGTAATGCTATTGATTTTTGAATGCTGACTTTGTATCCCACTACAGTACCAAATTTGGTGATGAATTCTAGGAATCTTTTGGCAGAGTTTTTGGAGTTTTCTATGTAGAATATCATGTCATCAGCAAATAATAATGATTTAACATCTTCCTTTCTTATCCATATTTCTTTTCTTTCTCTTGTCTAATTGCTCTAGCTAATTTTTCCAGAACTACATTGTTTCTTATTCATATTCCTTTTCTTTCTCTTGTCTAATTGCTCTGGCTAATTTTTCCAGAACTACATTGAACAAGAGTGGTGATAATGGCCATCCTTGTCTTATTCCTCATTTCAGGGTGAAAGCTTTCAGTTTTTGACCAGGTAGAGTGATGCTGTCTGTTGGTTTGTCATAAATGGCTTTTATCAGATTGAGATAAAGACCTTCTACTCCAAATTTCTGTCGGGTTTTTATCATGAATGGATGTAGGACTTTGTCAAATGCTTTTTCTGCATCTCTTGAGATAATCATGTGGTTTTTGCATGGACTCTGTTCCTTTCCTGGCATCATTGTGTGTTAATATACACAAACAAGGAAGCTCACCCAAAGCTTGACATTCTGAGTTTTCATTGGGGCTCTGTCACATAGATACAGTTCAATACCCCATAGCTGGTCTCAGACTCCAGACTCTCTGGAGATTGATCTGATACCATGTGATCTAGAGTCCCAGCCATAAATCACATTGTTAAACCATCTGGCATGACCTGTCACCTGCCAGGTAAACAAAAACAAAAACATTCTCAGACATAGAATTCCAAGGCTGAATACTTTCAAAATTGTTACACAGATTCAATGCAATCCCAATCAAAATCCCAACACCATATCTCACAAAATTAGAAAACAATCCTATAATTCGTTTGGAGCAAGAAGAGACCTACAGTAGCAAAGGCAATTCTGGGTAACAAAGGCAAAGCAGGGGGCATCACAATCCCTGACTTTAAATTATACTACAAAGTGACGGTAATAAAAGCAGCATGTTACTGGGAAAAAGAACAGACCTGAGGATCAATGGAACAGACTAGAGGATACAGAAACAACTCCAGACACACTCAGCCACCTCATCTTTGACAAAGGAGCCAAACACCCTCAATGGAAGACAGATAGCCTCTTTAATAAATGGTGTTAGAAAACTGGCTTTCCACATGCCAAAGATTGAAACTACACCCATATCTTTCACCATGCACTAACCTAAAATCGAGATGGTTCAAAGATCTAAATATTAAAACAGAAATACTAAATCTGCTAGAAGAGAGAATAGGTAGAATTCTTGAGGACATTGGAGTAGACAAAGACTTCATAAATAAAACCCAGACTGCATGAGAAATACTACAAAGAATCAACAACTGTGACCGCAGCTTATTAAAAAGCTTTTGCACAGCAAGAGAAACCACCAACAGAGTAAAGAGACAACCCACAGAGTGGGGAAAAAAATTTCACCAGCTCTTCAGATAAAAGACTGTTATCTAGAATATATAAAGAAATAAAACCCCCAAAATTTAAAGACCCAATGCAAAAAATGGGCATCTGAAATAAAAAGACACTTCTCAGATGAAGAATTAGAAATAGCAAATAAATATAGGAAAAAATGTTCAACATCACTGGTCATTCAAGAGATGCAAATGAAAACAGCACTGAGATTCCATCTCACTCCAGAAAGAATGGCTGCTATCATGAAAACAACCAATAACAAATACAAGAGGGCCTGTGAGGAAAAAGAAACCCTTCTCCACTGCTGGTGGGAGTGTAGATTGGTGCAACCACTGTGGAAATTAATGTGGAGATTTCTCAAAAAACTGAAACTAGAGGTTCCATTTGACCCAGCTATACCTCTTCTTGGTATCTTCCCAAAAGAATTAAAAACAGCATGAAACAGTGATATATGCACACCCATGTTTATAGCAGCACAGTTGGTAATAGCTAAATCTTGGAAACAGCTCATATGCCTATCAACTGACAAGTGGATAAAGAAGATGTCAGGTTTTTTATACAATGGGGGAATACTACTCTGCCATAAAGGATGAGCTTCAGACATTTTAGCTAAATAGATGGACCTTGAGACCATATGCTTAAGTGAAATAAATCAGACGCATATGTTTAAATACTGCATTGTTTCTCTGCTGTGAGAAACTGAAATTGGAAATAAGAACTGAAATGTATAATAGATGTTGGGAAATGGGAAGAAAGTATTCAAATGGGAAGGGGAATAAGGGCAGAGGGAGGGAGAAAGGAAGGGACAAGAAAAAAATGGAAACAAAGCTTTTGTATATAGGGAGGGGAGGGGGCTTGAGGGAGGAATGGATAAAAGAATAAATAAATTTTTAAAAAATAAATTAAAAAAAGAATTCCAAGGCTTAGATATTAATCCCCAGAGGCAAAAGACTAACCTCTTTGGACAAAGTTAGATTCACTACTACACAGAGCCGAGCACAGAATCCCTTCCTGGCCTTCCTTATCCTCACCTCAGCAAAGCATATCAAGAATGCACACGCTTCAGGGTCAGATAGGCCTGGGCAGAGCCTTCCTTTAATTTTAATACCTATGTGGTTTCAGCTTGTGAGACATGACTCTCAGTCTGTTTCCTTCTTTGGGAAATGCAGAGCATCCCTTGCAGTGTGTGTAAGGATCAGAGTCCACGCTTTCACTGTACTTAATACAATGCTAATGTGTAGTACATACCTAATAAATGAGAGCTTACATGAATAGCATTGTCCTATTATTCAGTCTCTCCTCCTTTCATCTTCCCCTCTCTTTCCCCCCTCCATCCCACTCTCTCAATCTCTTCTTTCCATTCTTCCATCTTTTCTCAGGATAAAAGGATGTTCATTTGGTGTGAAAAAGGAAATGTCAAATTCTTTTTTTTCATTAAGTTTATTGGTACATTGTAGGTATACAATACGATGACATTCATCATTGGGAATTTGTACCTTTACATGATGTATCTTGGTTCTTATTTTCTCCCCATGCCCCTG